TCAAATGGTTTACCAACAAATCTTCAAGTAGAAAAGTATTAAGTGTCATGCTCTATAATTGTTTCCTAGAAAAAAAACATCTGCTGTAAAAACTTTACATAATTAACATTCTAATATTCAGATTCCACGGATGGGCTTTTATCAGAAAGTGGACTGTTGCCAAATTTGATATTTTAGCCAGATTTGCTTTAAATATAAAAGAACCACTACACTCCTATTAAGCTGAATGGAATATCTAAGATTTGCCCTGTTGCTTTGAGAGAGTAAGACCCAAAAAGAAATCTAAGACAAAAATGTTTATAATGTCAGAGTGGTCAAACCCTCAGGTAGCAGCCAAGAAAAAGGGGGGGGGGGGGTGAAATCTCTAACATTCCCACTATATGCAATGTTTTTTCATGCAGACTGACAACCTCAAATTCATGCTTTTCTCTTTCTTTTAGCTTTTGTAATTTCATTTATGTTAACTGAACTTCAGTTTTGCATATAACCTTTTATACACAGCATTTATCACATGTGTTGTAACAATACTTTCCTTTTTAAAATAAAATCTATTATTGGTTTAAACAGATCATAGATTTTATGGTAATAGGCTCTACTTTTATCAGTTAATATGCATTGCTCTTGTCAAAAAAAAAATAGTTTTTCAATCCTTTTATTCTTTCTCTTTAAAGGTTTATCTAATATCATTATCACGTCTTAAAAACCGCATCTTTATCAGACAATACTTCCATAATTTAGCATCTACTTTGCTGAAAACTCACTCTCTTTCCTCTTCTGCACACACACTTATCTGTTTGTTTGTGTGATATAAGCATTAAGTCCAGGTGACCACAAAAATAAATCAATTAACTATTCTGTAATCAGCATATCGGCTGGTATTTCAGCAAAGAGGTTTGTGGATTTCCAGCAGAATGTGTACACCAAAATATAAAGTGACTGTAACAACTATGGAATGATAGATTAAAAATAAAACAGTTTTGAAACCTGAAAGGCAAATAGTAAAACACTGTAGCGTAATAAATGCAAGACACTTTGACATCATAAACAGCAGTTGAAACAGCATTAACAGACATACAAGTTTTTTCATACTCACCATCATTGATTATTACCCTGTACTACTATGAACTCAAACAGATATAAACAGATTTATGAATTATAGCAAAAGCAACCAAAGAAATGTTTATTAAACTGGGAAAGGTGGCAAAGATAAAACTACTAAGAATTAACATAGTCAACGAAAACAGTTCATGAGCATAGATCTAACTGACACCCTTTAAAAAAAGAGACAGAGAGAGAGTTTTCTTGATAGATACTGTTATCAGGGTGGGGAGAAGACCAGTCTTTATACATAATAGGCCTTGACAAATGAAGTGGCATGGCCAGTTGCTTCTTGTCATTATTACTTTCCATATAAACCCCCAATATTTGGAGATTTTAGGGACCATTGGTATAAGGCTGAATAAAATAACCAATGTTGTTTATGTTAGAGAAATCAGCTACTTCCTATATCTGCTCTAAAAATGGGGGTAATAGCTATTTTCTAGACAGCATTGTTCCTTTCTTGACAATGTTTATTTGCTTGCAATGTTTACTTATTTGCACTATTTATTTGTTTACCTTCACTGAACTTGTAATCCTTCAGTAAGTCCTCAAATCTCTTAGAAATCAAACTTGAAGGTTTTCAAGACAGCCTAAGACTTTGTAACAGTGACAGGATCCAAATAAGTGTCTTCTTTTAAACTCAAAATATTAGTTGTATGTCCCAATTTCAGCTTACCATTTCTTAACACCATAGTGTGAATAGCATAATAAATGTTAGCTCACATTTGGGTAGAAACACCCTTAACAGACTGCATTATTTGTTATTGCATCATTTTATATCAGAATGGTTGTGGATGTCTCCTTGTGATGTCTGCTTCTAACTCAAAAGATACCAGGTTTTTCTTCTTCCTCTTCTTCATGTTCACTGGCTGTAAACTCTGGCAGAAAGTTTTGGGTGTTTGCCAACCTCGGGACTTTAGTTCCAGAACCAGTGTGTTGCTTACACATCTGTTTCACAGATGTGGCTTATTTATGTACAGACTCATGGTTCCTTGCCTGCAAGGCAGATCTACTCCAACTTGGAAGGATGCTCCCAATCAGTCAACTACTACGACATGCTTGTTGGGGAGGCAGTGGGTCAATTCTTGTTTTCCCAACAATCGAGCCCCAGAACCAACACAGGGATAAGAAGATGAAGGAACTGTCAAAAAAGATTTTGGATCCTGTGAGACTCAAAGATAATTAGCTTGTACTGAATTATTTCCTCATGCTATCCTTTGACTTAAGAATAAATTATGTGTCATAGGCTAGGGTGGGTATGGACCATCTTATAGTAGTGAATGTTTCAAGTCTGCACTTACACGACCAAGACTTAACCCGGAGTTAACCAAGACTAAATGGCGATGGTAGGAAGTCATGACTAATTGAGTGGTTCGCTTGTGAAGCCATGAGTACCGCAAGAACAAGAACTGAATTGTAGGACTGAAATAAAACCAATGGACAGCAAAAGATCAGGAGAGTTGTTTTCCAGGACATGCAATTTTTAGAGACTTGTGATAGTTTTAACCGTTAGATTACAGGGATTTGTGTTTAAACCACAGTGACTGATAGTCTGTGTTACAATGTGTTTCCTTAGATAGTAGCAGTACTTTTCTATTGTATAGTGCTCGAGAGAGATAGATTCCGTGTAGCTTATTACATGAGTAGTTGGTTAGGTATTACAGTTAGTCTGGTAGCTACGGCTAGTTTGTATCGGTTGTTGTGATTTGATCTGTCCTCACTCACTTTGCCCCGCACTCTGCAGATGCTCCACGATCCAGGTGTGGAGTTCAGTTACAGAGGAAAGAGCTGAATGGAAGAGGCATGGGTTCAGACCCGGGGATTATCCAGGGGAACGTGCTGGCCTGGGAGTGAAAAGTGATTTGTAAAGCCCTTACGGCCTTTGTTTCAGATATAGGTGCACACAACTTTTGAGGCAAACTACTGTCTCTTATATTGTCCTGTACATTAAAGATTGTTGTATGTTCTATAAGTGCTTGGGTTTAGTGTATAGGACAGTTCATTTGTCACGGGCCCACAACATGTGCCACATGCTGTTCTAGCAGACATAAGATCTCTGACATTATGGAGTCATCTGAATGTTTAGATACCACTGATATACTACACTGCATTGTTCAATTGTAACATGTAAATTAAAAAAACAGCATGTTCCTATACATAAAACAGTTTGTCATAATGATATGTGAAACACTCCAACAATGAGTATGTGCAATGAAAAACAAATTTTTTTTTTCTAAACCGTGAACCACAATCTTTAACACTGCTTCTATTCAGCTCATAAAGTAATATTAAATGCATTTAAAAAAATCCATTTCACAACAAATCAGGCAAATGAAAACATTAATGCACTCCTAGAGAGAAAAAAAATGGTCCTTGAAATTATCTTCAGTCTTCCATGCAGTCAGGTCTGACAGCTTGACATGGTGTAATTTCTGTAGAACATAAGTTGACACAAAGGAACTGTTGCCATGCCTTGGATTCAATATTGGGCATATGGTGCTAGCTCTGTACTGTAATTGGTCTATCAGCACTCATTGGGTGACATGATCTATGGCAGATTAACTATTTTTATTTCCTAAACTATTTTGTAGTACCTATAGGGGTTGACCTGGGATCTCTGGTCATTTTTTTTAAAGTTTGACCAAAAGGGTATTTAAACCTGTGATCCTCTTAAAGGCAGGAAAGCATACTAATCACTGCACTTACACAATTCCCATTTCTATAATAAATTTCATAAATGTTCTGTTTGTGTAAGTGAAGTAAACTCATGGTTGAAAATTGTTTGAGTTTTACTTTATCACTCAGCTCCATATCAATAGTCATAACAGTCTGCGTATTTCTTCTGGCTGGTACCAAGTCTGAGTTGAGCTGAGATCAGAAATGACATCACTACACTTTGGTTAGTCCCATAAGTGTCCATCCAAATCTTCAGTAGCCAGTGAGTTACAAAGTTGTGGGTATGTCTCTTTTGCCTTTCCTCTGAGTATAGAGTAATGGTCTGAACTCCTTACACACTTCCCATTGCACCATTCTCTCTCCACATTGTAATGGTTTATGAGCTTCTGAATTGTTCACTTACTCCAAAAAGGGTCTTGACCAAATCAATTTACCACCCAGTGTTGCAGCACCAAGGAATTTATGAGATTTTAACAACACTAGAAACATATGTGATCAAATAAACTTCCAGTCCCAACTAAAGATTAAACCAAGCCACCTTTGCTGATAATCCAGTAACCTATCCACTATGATATCACAGCAAAATATTCTAAACATAAATCACAATGGTCTAGACAGTTATTTAACAATTTTAAGTAAATTTAATAAACAAAGAAGTAACCATGAAATGTTTAAAATATGCCAGGGAAAGTTGGAAAACAAAGAAGACATGGAATGAAAATTAAATGTATTCAAAAATAAATGCCTGAAGAAACAAATGAACATCAACTGGTATGATTTCAAGAAAGGTTAGGACATAAGAGAAATGCCTAGACAACTGCTGGTATCAGTAAATAAAAGACAAAGAAGATGGCAATACACTGGGCATGTCATGGGAGAACTGGACAGAGAATCACCAAGCAGGCACTGAAATCAGAAATAAATAAAATGAGGATATCCAAGTGAAACCCTAAGACAAACTTTGATAACAGAGGCCAAAGATGCTGGAATGGATTCCATCCATGACATCAAAAAGTTTGTGCAAGATTAAAAAGATATACAGGGAAGGAATAGACAGGGAAGAAATAGAATCCTAAGTGTCATAAACATCCCAACAGATTGATGATGATGATGATGATAGTTATGATGACAAACTATGAAATGCAAAAGACACTGGATTTACCTTCAGTAAATGAAACAACCATTTAATATAACAAAAGTGTGGAATAGCTAAACATAAAATATCAGTGTTTTCCTTCATGTCTGTTCAAATCCTGCTCTCCTGAGTTGATACCGTAAGGTCTAAGATGATAAATGTAGAACTCTAGTGCCAGCATCTTCTCTGGGGGAACATAGTGAAAGCTGATGGCATAGTCACTTATACTTTCTTGACCCTGGTCAGAAGCAAACAAAATGAACTGTAAGAATTGTGGCTTTTTTTAACTAAATAACAAACAAAATTCAGTGTGCTTCTAGAATGTTGCAAGTCCAAGGTCAACAACCATAGATGTTTCACCTTTGCCAACTTCAATATGCCGCAGTTTCAGTATTTGCTGCCGCAACTGATTCTACCTCTTCTTCAGTATCATCCTGTTTTCTCTCTCTCTCTCGCCCCCATCCACTTTTTTTTTTTTAAATAGCTGTGTTTTCTGTTACTCCTCATTTTTTCTTCTTCTTCTTTGCGTTCACCAGCTGTACACTCTGGCGGAAAGTTCTGGTTGCTCGTCCACTAATGAACTGCAGTCCAGCTCCAGAACCTGAGTGTTGCATGTGCATCAGTTTTACAGATCTCATTTTCTTGAATACAGACTGTTGGTTCCTTGCCTCTCCGGCAGATGAACTCCGACTTCAAAGGAAGCTCCCCAAATAGTCGACTCTTACAACATGCTTTTGGGGAGGCAGCGGGTCTATTCTTATTTTCCCCACAATGGGGCCCCGGAACCCACACAGGGGCCTCATTTTTTTCTCTATCTTCTTATGTGTCTATCGTGTCATCAATATTTTTAAGGCAAGGTGTTTTTTTTTTAGTGACATCATCTTATCAAGTTCATACAATTAAAGTATTTCAGCCATTTTAAAAGCAAACAATTTCTTCTTAAAGGAAGTGATTGAGAGGAAGGCAAAGAAAAAAAAACCATGTAACAGAAACACAATGTTACAAATAGATTAACAACATCTAGAGATGGACTGGAAGAAGACTAAATGAATGAATACACATCATGACAGTGCAGATCATAAGGTATTGGAGACCCACTTACAGCTGTTATTTAATGAAGAAATCAAACTTGATGATGACAATCAATTCAGGGACATATGAAGTATATTATCAATGTAATAAAATGCAAAGGTTAATCACACAAAAGGAAAATAAAGACCAGCATTAAAATAGGCAATTCAAATGCACAGTCAAACCACTGGTTGATATAATATCCAGTTTTTATAACAACCGTAGTGGTTAGTGTGCTTGCCTGGTAAGACAGTTGTTTGCACTCAATCTCCAGAAACAGCAGGCTTCATTTTTTCCAGTACTGCTCTTGGGTTGACCTAGCCTCATAAAACAGGGCACAAAAAAATTTCCAGAAATTCCTGGGAGCTCTGATTAGCAAGAGTTATTACGCCTGTTCTGTGTTGATTAATCAAACGTCTTGTCCCTTTGGTAGAATGTTCATTTCTTGCAGCTCCAGGTTGCACTGCCACATCCATCAGCCTAAAAAGGGATGAGGAGTCATGTCCATTACCATATTCGTCTTTGCAGTAAGTGCTGTGCATGGAACTGACGACATAGCTTCTGTCCCTTACCAGGCCAGCCACAGCAACCATAATTTTTTGCAAGATACCTGCAGCCTCCTGATTTTAACACCTGCATGACCAGGCACAAAGATGAAGGTTAGGACAGTCATTCATGAAGTGCTTAGTGTTGCAATCCATTCTTGTCGGAAGAACACAGCTAGGATTTTCTTCAGCATATTCAGTCACTAGGTTAGCACAGATGGGTGAACCCTTGAGCACCAAGCCATCCTAATGAACACGTTATCACTAAATATGCACACATATGTGAACTCTCGTGCACCAAGCCATGGTAATGCCCTTGTTACAGCCATAGTTTCTATTGTGAGGCTACTAGTTGTAACAGCAAAGACACATCTCCTTGATTGTTTCCCCCCTTGAGCTCATTGTGAATACACCTGCGCTTGGCTTGCCCCATATACTGTGTGGAAAGCAATGGTGATGACAAAGGGTCTGGTCGCCCCTCCTTTTGTGTTGTGGCCTAGAACAGGGCTATTCAACTAAGTTTACTCAGGGGCCAAAATGTTGAAAATGGGGATCTTCACGGGTCAGAGGCCCACCCCAGCATTGAAAGATCATTAACACAATACAACTGGCACTAATCTGCAGGTCCACTTCCAAAGTCTCAGCGAGCCAGATTTGGCCTGCAGGCCAACAGTTGAATAGCCCTGGTCTAGATTTAGTGAAGGTTGAATTCACATACAGATCTGTGGTATCTGCTACGGGGCTACCTTGACCTTTTATTTCATACACACACAGACACACACATATATATAAACACATAATCACACATAAAAATGTATAGTAAAACCTAATTACCATGAAATAACTTAAGAAGAACACTTAGTTATTAACATGAAAACTTTTTTGTGTGCCAGCAGGGATGTATCTGTTATTAGTCCCGAGATAGTCTGAATTTATTTTAACAGAAACTCAAGTTTCAGCCCCGATGATAGTGTTCCGCTATCTTATTAGGAAGTGAGGGGAAACGCAGCCCATGGTGATACCAACTAAGGCCAGGTTTAGAGTTCCTTCTCTGTATAGCACCAAGCACACACTGTACTGTAGAGACTATATCTTGTCCATGCAGCCGTATCCTCCCTCAGCCTGTTCTGTTATACCAAATGTATAGTAACGCTGATATGCCTAGAACAAAGCATTCTGCAGAAGCTGCTAATTGTCTAATTCAGTGCTTCCCATCACAGGAGGGCAATTTAACTGTCAAGGAGGTGCAATATGATTGTTCAGAGGGGAGGGTGGATGGGGCAATTTGAAAATGGACTCATCCAGAGTTTGAGTTAAATAGAGGGATTTTGAATTTTATAGAGACGCCCAACAAAAAAATTTGGGAAACACTGGTCTAGCCTGTCCTGTCATAAAAAAAACTTTTTAAAGTTTCATATCCTTGTCCCCAAAAAAACAGGCAGGCTTCCACCCTATTGAGCTAATCTGCCCAAAGCCATATATATGTATATATATATAGTAAAGCCTTGTTCACATAAACTTGCTTAATATTAGCATTAGGTTGAATAAACTTTGAGCCCCAGCATGGAATGGTTTTATTCATTATATATATATATATATAGATATATATATATATATATATATATATAGATCTATATATATATATATAGATATATATATATATATATATATATTATATATATATTTTTTTTTTTTTTTTTTTTCAAATCTTTCTGTCCCCAGGTGCGCAACCATTTTTGTAACACAAACTCTTCATTTTTCAGTGCCTCGTAATTTGTGCTAACGACATTTTACTGGATACATATTACAATACAGTAAAGAAAAGGTCCTGTTTTTATGCCTTCAGGTGTATTGGGCACATAGGGCTGACCTGCATTGTATAGAACAATTGGTACATGGTGGGTGATATGGTCAGCATCATGTCAGTCACGTTAGCTTTCCAGCACTTTACCTAGTACCCATATAAGGCTGGACTGACCTAGAGCCAAGGTTATTTTTGGAGAGAAAAAATCCAGCACCATCCGGATTTGAACCTATGATCTTCGGATTCACAGTGGCTACAATTACAATAAAATAAGTGAATTAATAAGGCATTAGACAATACTGAAATATAATGCTAAAGTAGGTATTTTAGTATATTTTCTCAACTGCTTTCAGATAATGCAGCTAGCATGGTTGGATTATATTTGGAAAATTAAATCCAATACCATCTCATTCTAGCCTCTACGTCAATTCTAAGCCATGACATTAATTTTGAAAGTAAATTATATAAATAATAGGAGAATCGAAAAAAAATACTTTTTGTTTTCAGCGCTTTCAGAAAATTTGTTTTAACTATAACATTTTAAAATAACTTATACTAAAGCTGTCTACATACTTTTAGCATAAGATTACTTACCTTTTTAGCCCCATGTGAATCATACTGGTAATACCACTCAGGGTAACCACCGAACAGATGAGTCTCTGGATCAAAACAATGAAATCTACTCCTGTTCATGGAGTCTGTGCTGTTAGCTGTCCGGACTCCCAGTCTCTCCATGCAAAGTCCAAGCTCAGCATCCTCTGCACCACCATCTTGTCTGCATATTGAAGAGTCGTTTCCCTTGGCACCAAGCCTTCGTAAAGCTTCTTTACTGAGAACATAGCCTCCACCACCGCTTTCAGAAAGAAAGGAATATATTTCTTTTTCAACTGCAGCTAAAGCAAGTCACTATATACAATATCTTTTTCCGTTGGTCAATTGTGTTGTAGTCAAGAACAGTTGGTCAATTATGTTGTAGTTTACAGCCAGGCTACAATAACTGTATCAACATACTTGTTGGGGGTATTTGCTTCGTTAATATAAATTTCTGTAACCTATGGTGCCATTTCAATGGGTCGAAATGAATTCTGTCCGTATTCCATAGTTGTGGATATACATTATGACCCAGCAATAGGTGTTTCGTCCTTTTTAGGACGAAATTTTTTGTTATTTGAAGCCCCACCCTGGTTTTTGCCAGGGGTCATAATATAGGCAGGCCATAAATATGGCCAATTGTCTGAACGCGGTTTCTGGGACCTCTCCATGGCGATCCTCATCTACATGGTGGCACTTTGTGTCATCGGGTGTTTATCGCTTGTGTGATGTCCTAGTGGGGTAAAAAGTCAGTCAGTCAGTCATAGTTGTGGATTTCAAGTTGTACGATAGACATAGCTATTAGGATACCTTTTTTGGGGGGTGCCTAGTTGACCATGTTCTTAGTGCACTTGTATTCATGGTGAGGCGCAGACGCCGTCTGGAGGTGACAGGTTCAATTCCCGGCACGGTAACTATAGCTTTTGATTTTTATGTTGTCTAGTGTGTTCTTCTATCTTTCTACTTCTTTCTATGAGTGCCAATCAATACACTTTCTGTTACTTTATTAATTCATAATATTGTTGGGGGTAGTTTAAAATTTTATTTTTCTAAACACTGAGCATCTCGAATTCCTTTTTTTTTTTTTTTTTTTTTACATTCTACAACTTTATTTATGTTAACTAGGCTTCAATTCTGCATATAAACAGCCTTTATAATATGTTTGTAATAATGGGTTTCTTTCCCAAATTATTTTATTATTAGTTCTAATAGATCGCAGATTTTATGGTAAAGTGCTCTGTTGTTATATCAATCAGCCCAGCACAGCTGACTACAGTCTCTTGTGACATGCTTGTTGGGAGGTAATGTGTCTGTCCCCACCCACCCTCCCAAATGAGCAATGGAACCCACAGAGAGACTTCATACAATAACATAAATCTGTTCTTGATGCCGTCATTCTTTTTTCTGCGTGGTTTTCCCCTTGGCTCTTTGTGGCAGCTGGTACCAAGGTGTTCTCATCATATGGCCAAACCATTTCAAATGTTGCTCTGCAATAGCAAACTGTATAAGTGGTTTCTGGCTTAGTCTTTTAATTTCTTCATTTTAAACTCAATATCTGCTTGTTACTCCGGCAGCTCTTCCAAGTCATGTTATCTCTGTTGTTATGAGCTTGCATCATTAGTTTTAGTGAAGTTCTAAGTTTGCCATTAGTAGAATAAAGTTGCCCTAAAAATATTTCTGATTAGATTTGCCTTGGTAGACAAAGGTATAAAGGTTAACTTAAATGTGTCAAAAGAAGTGTTAGTTGTCCCATGACCTGGTTTGCTTTGGCATATTGTATGTTCATTTCTCTTTCCATACTTTCTTCTAATATGAAAAGTGACCCTAGATATTTAAATTTACATGTTTGTTTTGTCTCCATGTTATTTGCTTTTTGGTATGGCTTCTTGTTGTCTAGCAATGCCTCTGCCTTTTCTAAGTCTCTTTTCATATTATTTTTATAGCACTTAATGTTGATCCGATATCTTGTTGACAACTTCTAGTTAAGTTAAATATGCAGACAGATAGGTTCAACGGGTTTACTGATAATCTTTAGTGATTCTGAAATTATAAAGGAGAGCTTGGCTTGAGTGCGAGCAAACAGTACTATCTCTGCTACCTACTGAATTTAAAGAAAATGAAAATAATGTCCTCAGATAAAATCGACTGTCACCCAAAATAACAATAAATGATGAAGAAATTAAATTTGTCACAAACTTTGAATATCTAGGCTCTATAATAAACAGCAATGCAGACTGTTTGACATAAATTAAAAGGAGGATGGTCATAGCAATGCAAAGATTGAACAGCCTTAAAAGTCTATGGTTAGGCATCAGCAAGGAAATCAAAATTAGAATTTTTAGAGCATGCATCTTCCCTGTGGCTACATACAGATGTGAGTCGTGGACTATCTCTCAGTTCTTAAGAAAGAGAATAGGGGCTTTTGAGCTGAAATGCTAAAGAAAGATTCTCAGAATATCTTGGACAAAGAAGAGGAGAAATACTGACATCTTGAAAGATCTGAACATCAAGGAAGATTGGCTAATAAACAGCATCCTGTCTCGGAAGATTAAATAATCTGGTCAGATCAAGCACCATGACGGATTGGAGAAAATTATAGCAGAAGGCATGGTACCAGGAAGGAGGGGCAGGGGCCGACCAACAAGAAGATGGGCACATGATAAAAGTGACTCCTTGGGTATGAAAGCACATGAGGCGGGAGAACTGGTGAGAGACTGAGTTTATTTCAGGCAGACTGTGATAACAGCAACATTCTGCAAAGGACCTGCTACATGATGATGATGATATTTGAAGCCATCTAAGAAAACCCTTTCTTACACAGGATTGCAGGATACACCAGGCTGTTGTAGCCAAAAAATGCGCCCAAATGAGATTTTCTTTAGAGGGTTAAACTGGATATCTGACTTTTTGCCCAGCTAGTCTGCCATCCAGACTGAATTTCTCTTTTCTGTTTTTTAGCAACCCAGGGTGAGAACAAAACCAGCTAAGAAAAGTACTGTGCAAACAATACAGCTTCTAAAATTAAAGGTGACAGACACTTTGGGTGACAGACACTGAAGGTGACAGACACTGAAGGTGACAGACACTGAAGGTGACAGACACTGAAGGTGACGGACACTGAAGGTGATAAACACTTAAGGTGACGGACTCTGAAGGTCACAGACACTGAAGGTGACAAACACTGAAGGTGATGGTGACAGACGCTGAAGGCGACAGACACTGAAGGTGACAGACACTGAAGGTGACAGATACTGAAGGTGACAGACGCTGAAGGTGACAGATGCTGAAGGTGACAGATACTGAAGGTGACAGACGCTGAAGGTGACAGATGCTGAAGGTGACAGATGCTGAAGGTGACAGACACTGAAGGTGACAGATGCTGAAGGTGACAGACACTGAAGGTGACAGATACTGAAGGTGACAGACGCTGAAGGTGACAGATGCTGAAGGTGACAGATACTGAAGGTGACAGACGCTGAAGGTGACAGACGCTGAAGGTGACAGATGCTGAAGGTGACAGATGCTGAAGGTGACAGACGCTAAAGGTGACAGATACTGAAGGTGACAGACACTGAAGGTGACAGATACTGAAGGTGACAGACGCTGAAGGTGACAGATGCTGAAGGTGACAGATGCTGAAGGTGACAGACGCTGAAGGTGACAGATGCTGAAGGGGACAGATGCAGAAGGTGACAGACGCTAAAGGTGACAGACACTGAAGGTAACAGACACTACTTGAAGAGTATTTTAAAATCAAATGCTCATCAATCAACAGTTACTCTTCAAGCAAAAAGCACCTCTATCATAAACTGATATAACACAGAACTTGAACTACAATGGAAGCAAAGGCAATCAAGTTTCCTCTGCTGCTTCCTAACCTCAAAAGCACAAGTGTGAAAATACTACTTCCGGTCTATTCTTTTTAATTCTCTAGTACCAAGCATGTTTCACTTGAACTTTTTATTGTCTTTTTTTTTTTTTTTTTCAAATTGTGATTTAAAGGGTGGTTGATATGTTGTGGTGGTTTACAGGTAGGCTGCCATATCTGCACATTTCAGCCTGACATATGAAATTTCAGCAAACTCATAAACATTTACCTTTTGTAATATGCTTGTTAAAGAATGAAAGTGGGTCCATTATTATTTTCCCCTAAAAAGGAGCCACGGAAGGCTGCAGGTAGTTCTATTCTAAGGAGTTTTTACTTTGATTAATGAATGTTTCAGTCTGAGGAGTAGAAATTATAATACTGTAAAAATTAGAATGCTATGGGACAAAATGAGTTACAGGAAAAAGTTGATCAGAATGGATAAATGTAACAATCATTTAAGTACCCAAGGGAAATCACAAAAGTATATCAGGTCCATTGAAACAAACATGTGGTGAGTTGCTAGGTATTAAATGAGTTGATATTATCAACTCTAAATTTTCTTAGCATAGATGAAGACAATAAATAACAATATGATAAGGAAACACAGGGAGTGAAGAAAAGCATAAGAAAAAGGAGAACAATGAATTCAAAAACCTTAAACTTGTGGTTACAAATAATAATAAAAGTGTTTGTGTATGTTTTTGTTTTCTCATCAAGGATTGCATTCTGTGAGATTAATACCTCAAGAATGAGAATCTAACAGGTACAAATCCCAGAATTCCCATTCAACTGTCACGATTATCAGTGTCTGCGCCAGAGAAGGTTTTCAGAGAAAAATTATTTATGTAAGGGCTGGTACACTTGAAAAACAAAAAACATAATATAATTCTTTCGGTTACCTGTAGTATCCCTGTTTTACAATTGTCTTAAAATGATGACCAAAGTAAACGGGTTCACTTGTGTTCTGGCTTGACAGAAAATAGCGCAGATTTTCAACAATTACGTAAGTGTCATCGTCTGCCTGAAATATGTATCACTTATATTTGTCAGAATCTGTGTACATTAAGGCTTACAGTGCCTAACATAAAGTAAACAATCATGCATACTGCTCTGGTGATAACCACATACAAACTGTTAAGCAGGCTTTGGCAAATGTGCACATGGCACACCCTTTTTTAATCCTCGGGTTATGATTAGTTGACAAATACATAATTCAAATATCTGTTCTGGCTTAAACATATAAGGAAGGATAATGACTGAAGCAACTACTGATCTGTCATAGCTGCTGCTTCCAGCACCAAAGAACTGCAGTCCTAATGTTTGACTGTTTGCGTTGGCACTTCTGACTGCTATTTTATGCATTGAATGCAAGTACATACTGTTGGCTTTGCTAAGACTGCAGTATGTGTCAATATTTTTCACAACAAACAGTGATAACCATTCAATGTGGTTTTTGTTAGCACAGTAATGGAGAAACTATGGGTTGACCCATTTGCTATGAAGTTACAACTGTGTTTACATGAGTAAATTTATTTGCAGGTTTGCATTCAGATGACTGAATATTTGTCTCACTTTTCTAGTGTAAACAATTACATTGTACAGATTAAGAACTCACTTTCATAAACCAATCGGCATCATTCAAATGATGCTCATAAATGTAGCGAAAGCCTTTCATTGTCTTTGCTGTTAGATGTTCTCTGCCCTCAGGAACTTTAAGACCAATTGTAGGGAATGTTGCATTGTCCTCTGAGCTGTAGATAAAAGCCAATACCATTTTTATGTAGAATTTCTTCTAGATACAATGCATGCATATAATAAGTGACTCTGCCTCGACAGTTTTAGTATCATGTATTAACTCATAGCTTTCTGCTATAATCAGCTCAGAGTCGATTAGGAGGTTGTATGACTGCTTTATTATAAAAGTATATAAAGAATTTTAATTTATTCAAAATGGTAGCAGCAGGAAATCAGCTGTCCATTCCTCAAATAAAGTGCTCAAAACAAATTAGAACATTTAAACAAAAACAAAAAACAGTTAAGAACTGGTGTTAAAAGCCTTGTTCTGGCATGAAAATGATGAAAATAAAATTATACAGATGCAGTAATATGGCCTGCAGCTCAACTTCAAAGCCCAACCTAGCCTTGCTATATAGCTGAACACTCAAAAGGCAAAAACTGACCGTCTTATAACTTTTCTTCATCTTACAGACCATGTATACTTTTTCCATGACAAGATGCCAAATAAATTATCTAGCATCCCTTTTTTGTCTTCCCTTGTCTCTCTTCCTCTCCAGCTTCCATGTTCTAAGTATATACTTGAGTTATCCCCATCTTCCTGCTGCCCAAAGAATGTGGATAATGCATTCAGTTGAGAGTAACCAGTTTCAGTCTGAGTTATTTCTTTCAATGATGATTTCATTACACATTTTTATTTGTCTGTGATGTTCCCATTGTGCCTTCACAACACCACACCGCAGTTAATCAGTTCACTTTAGTTCCATCTTCACAATAAACAGGTGACATCTCAGACAATCAGCTACAAGATTAAGAGGACGGCCACAAAAACATGGATCACAAATTATTCCACTAGATGGCGCTTTACAGCGCTTTACGTGAGAAGTGATTAATGATGGTGATGATGATGATAAGGTACCTGAAAAATAGGAATTTGTTGAATCTTCGAGCCCACGTGTGCTTCACAACAGTGGCCTTCTTATCCAGGTTGGAAGGGGAAGTCATTACCCAAACCAGAACTCGAACCTGCTCCCGTAGTTTCCTGGCTACACTGTCATCATCTGCAAAAAGGCAAATAAAACAGTAAAAGTAAGGTTAGCTATTTCAAGTTTTAATTTTTCTTATATGTTTGCAATTAAAAGAGCACCTGGCATGCTGTATTGTGGGTTAAAATAGACTGCAATATCTTCACCTTTTGGTCCAAAACATCTGATTCTAGAAAGAGCCTTATTAGTTGCCTTTTAGGACATGTTAGTTAGGTGGTGGTGGGTCTATTCTCCACTCCCCCCCCCCCCCCCCCCCCCCCCCCCCCCCCCCCCCAAAAAAAAATTTCCAATTGCAATGGTGCATTTAAAGTAGAACACCCCCCTCCCCCCCCCCTTTCCCCACAGTAACCATAAAATTTGATCTATTCCATTATAGATGGACTTTTGGGGGTTGCAGATTATGATATGTTGGGAAATCTGAGAATTTTATGCAAATTAGTTTCCAGTATGGCCACTGTAACACTAAAAATAGCTTATATATTTTAAAGATGATATCTCATCAACCAGTTCACTCTTAATCATCACATTTGGCACATGTGTTTAAAACAGGACGTTCTGGCCCTATAGTAGAGTTGTTCAATTTTGTTGTTTGTTGACAAGTTTTTCTTGTGAATTTGTTTATGATACTGAGTATTTCAAAAAAGCATTAAATAATCATATAAGTAACAAATAAACAGGTTACCCTCACTGTTCTGCATTTATTCCACTACAGGTCCTGCATAATTTGCACAAGAACATACCTGGCAAATTTCAGGCCAGTCAGACATTAAATGCTAACGCTTCTACATTTAGAAAGTTGACAATATCAAATAATATAGTTTGCAGGAACCCACTAAAACCGTGAATTGTTCTTGATTGTTGCCTTTAAAATGACTGCTATATGTCCCCTAGGAGTTTACATATCTCCTTCTCTGCTATGTAGGAAGCCTCTATTAATAGCCCTCGGGAGTTTTCTTCTCATATGGGTTTCTCAGAAGGTTTTAACTTAAAACGAGTTTATACGATTTATGCCCTTCTCTTTGTATCTCTTCTCCCTCTCTTCCAAGGGCTTCAAATAGTTTTTGTACTACAGCCCTTTAAGTATAGCCCTGCCCTACACAGACCGCCACATATTTTCGCAAGCCAGACGGCACTCGGCAAGTATAGTGCTCAATATCTTTCCAGTCACATGCATTTCGTGAAACATTTTGTGAAGGCACTTTTAGCTGCAATTACTTGAGAGCATCAAACAATGTACACCGGTAAACATCAAAAACGGGATAAACAAGTTTTCTTTCGTGTTAATCGCATAAATAAACATGGTGAAAGAATGTCAAACGCCACCGTGTGGCCGAGGTCGTTTATTCATGCCATACAACGAACCTGGAATTTAGACTAAACATCTGAACTATACGAACTAAAATGCGTTGACTCACAAAGTAAAAAAAAGGGGGGAGGGGGGGGAAGGTCCCTTTTCAACCCCATTGGGCATATAAGGCTAGACCTTTATTTGTATAGACCAATCGGCACAAGATGGGTGATGTGGTCAGCATCACGTCGGTCGCCTTTACTTCCCTGGACTGCATCCGATACTCACTCAAGGCTGGGTCGACCTGGGAGTAGGTCTTTTTTTTTTTAAAGTCCAGCTCCGCCAGGGAGCGAACCCACGACCTTCCGATCCGCACCAGAGCGTCTAGCCGCTACGCCACGGCGACTCCCGATCCACAAAGTGCGTATAAAGAATTCAAACCCAGTTGCAACAAGCTTCTGAGATTCTCGCCCAAAATGTGACAACTTTCTCATGTCGTCTTCAAGTGTCAGATCCCAGGAAGGACGTACATTGGGTGCAGAATGAGTGAGTGTAGACATGGCGAACGGGTGGGCAGAAGGATGGAGGGGCGGAGAAAGACAGACAGGCAGACAAGCAGGTGACGGAAAGACAAGACATATTAAAGACCACGTTTATGGATTAACGTATGGATATTCAAATATTGGTAGACTGTATTCATGGATGTAGGAGCAAGCATATGTTTGGATGACTGGAAGGTCCCTACTTCACGCCCTAATATTTCTTAAAACCTACTCAACTTCACGAACCTGCTGCAGGATTTACCGTGGGATTGTATGCTTCTTCGTTTAAAGAGAATCTATTGTTGTGATTTACTGTGAGATTGTATGCTTCTTCGTTTAAAGAGAAACCTTTCGCGTTGAATCTCTCTCTCTCTCTCTCTCTCTCTCTCTCTCTCTCTCTCTCTCTCTCTCTCTCTCTCTCTCTCTCTCTCTCTGTGTTTGTGTGTGTGTATGTATGTGTGTGTCTTTCTTTCTTTCTTTCTTTCTTTCTTTCTAACTGCTGACATGGCTTCTTCGTAAACTTCAGGATAGAAAGTTAAAAAAAAAAAAAAATCAAGTAACAGCCAAAGTAAGCAGAGTGAGGGCGCAGTAACTGATCGAAGCAATTTCATATATACAAAAGTAAGATATTATGAGCTCTGGTGTCTAGGTAGCTATCTCGCGCAATTTCCGTTTATCTGTTCAGGGGTAACTGAGTACCAAGCAGCACGATGTACGTATTTGTGCTTACTAATGAGGATCTGACGCCGAAGTGATTACATCGAATTTTTAGTGCTCTGAAGCTTGTGCGTTCGATTTTGGATACTCTCCCTATGTGTTTACGAGTGCAGGCGTTTCATATCTATGCGAGTTGTTGCTGTAGCTACGGAGTTCATGCTTTCTGCAACTCTTTCGCAGGTGAACAGCCACTACAGAGTGTGAGTCTTCGATCCTTAAGCCAGGAACAGATAATGCCGTGCAGGATGTATTTTTATCTATCTCTGTCCCACTTAGGATTTCAAGTAGTGAGAGATCCCAAGTCTGCCCAGCTAACATTCCAGTGGAAAGCAAACTGTATTGTGGCTTGGAAAGCAATAAAAAAAAAGCGGACAGACTGGCCAGAAGCGTCAGTGACATGGTGCAATCAAACAGTGACTTAACCCACCAAAAGACCAAGACGGTAATACAAACCAGCATCCAAGAAAGATGGCTGGATACACACGCCATATTTTCACCTCAGTTCAAGCTATCAGTGAGACAGCATTTGTATGTTTCATCTCGGCTGATCTCTGTCGCATGATCTATATAAGAAGTAGGAGACGCTCCAGTTGGCATAACTCGATGAGTCTAGAGGAGTGGAAGTCTGGAATCCACTTCACATTCCTCAAGATATCAACACAGCGTCCCGATAAATACTGAAGAGTTACAGCGCTATTAGCGTTAGTTACAGTCTGGTTATTTGTTCGTCTTGTCTTTCCCGTCAGCGTGGAGTAGGCCTATCTGTCAGAGAGCCTCCTGGATCTTTGCGACTCGCAAACCCCTTTACCACAAATTAGGCATATGTTCGGTTACTTTTTGTCGACTGACGTTACTGAACATTGGGTATTCTCAAGCGTGCTCATTGGTCCGATGCAGTAGCCACCCTAAAGTACCTCTAGACACAAAGAATAAGCCCCCAACAACAAACATTCACTAGTGACTTAGTTTTCAAGGCGTTCTTCGGTAACAATCACACTACATAAACATCATTTATATATATACATACATACATTCCTATTAAATCATAACCTGCAGTCTGCGATGACAACATTAGCTATGCGGTCCTAATTACTCAGGCTCAAATAACTCAAACCCCTCCCACTTTCCACCTCCACCCCCCCCCCCGAGTTACCTACACCCAAAAGTTGTCAGTAAAGGCAGCTGAATGCATTGACCCCTATTATAAAGGATATCAGAAGTGGCGGACGAAATCGGCTGGATCAGTACGTATTCTTTAGTTCAAAATGCTGGCCTCAAACAAAGCTGAGCAAGAGCGGGTACCCCCTCCAGGCTGCTACTTGAAAGGTTTGTGATACCATAATGAGATTACAAAATCTCAATCTGGATGGCAGATCCCAGACTTTCCCTTTAACCTCTAAAGAGGTTATAATTAGAGCACCCGTAACGGCTACACACACCAGGTGTAACCTGCAGTTCCCACGCAGGTAAAGACCTGAATAAGCCGCCGTTCAGTTTGAATTGTTATATTCATAATGAGTACTTTTTTTTTTTTTTTGGTTTGTTTTTTGTTCACCATTTCGAGGACTAAGATTTCGTGGAAAAGTCCAATATTATGAGAGGGGGTGGGGTTAGTGTTAGTAGGTGTTCATTTTACACCCTAACGCCCCTATACTATTGAACTTTCCTGGTTACTCCCATGAAATCTTGCAGTCCCCGAGATAGGGTGAATAAAAAGAAAAAGACACAATGTACAGTCTTCTGAAATGTCAGATTGGATTCTATGCTCGATTAAAAGTAGTATTCCTCTTTTTTTTAAACTTTTTCCTTCAAATCCTTGAAACGGTTTTGTCAGGACGAGAACGACACTGGTAGGCTCTCTTTGCGTTTTCACTCTGCACTGATATCTTTAACATACACAACAGCCACAGCTGTGCAGACTGTAAGTAAAGGAGAACAGTTTTAAAACTACACAACTGCGGTCCAAACACTACAATTCACTTAAATAATGTAAACACTTAAAATGTTAGCGGGGTGCCATACAGAAATCTAAGTCTGACTTAATCCTATAAATGTTGACTGCTAATAGTTTAAATAGGCACAGCTAAACAAAAGAAAACATAGACATGCCACACTACAAGCATGACTGCAGGCTAAGGGGCAAATGAAAAAAAAAACAGAATATTTAACCAAACTGCCAAGTATAGTAAGTTTCAGGCCTCCAGCCCATTAGCCTATGATGTAGATACAGGACATTCAACTAAGTTTATCCTAGGACATTCTGAGGAAAATGGGGATCGTCACGGAAATCATTAATGTAGCTAGCATGCAACAATCCGTTGGCCGTTCGGCCTGCATGCCGCCTGTTGAATAGCCCTATCTGTCTTATCTACTTTTACCCCACCAGGACATCACACAAGCGATACACACCCGATGACACAAAGTGCCACCATGTGGATGAGGATCACCGTGGAGAGGTACCAGAAACC